GTTTTTTTTTTTTTTTTTTTTTTTTTTTTTTTTTTTTTAATGTTGCCTGTATTTTTGCTTTATACTTTGCAGCAATTAGCTTTTAGCTTGAAGTAGTATTATATGTATGTATTTGTGGAGAGTATTTCTTGGTGTGTTTTAGTGGATTAATGATTAGGATCCATAGAGAAAAGAGTTGGGGTTTTTGAATTATTTTATTATTTATTTAGTTTGTAATCATGTTGCTTTATAAGTTAGCTCTGAAAACGTTATTTGTGTATAAAAAGTGAGATCAATATTCATTATGGTGTGAAAAGTTGAGAAGAAAAAGTTGGGACGATAGATCTTTTTCTTTCTTTCTTTTTGTTAGTCTTTTGGGGAGCTTTTTCAATTTTTTTAAATTTATTTAGTTTAATGATTCTTGGTGCATATTATTTTGTAGGTTTCGTTAGATTTAAAGAAGAATGGCCTGTGGCATAATTTCTATTTTTGAATAAAACCAAGTATATAATGTATTTAAGTTCTCATTTGCAGCCAAGGAAAACTTAATTCTTAATTTGACATGGACAAATAATTCATTTATTCGTTTTTCCCATATTTTTAATTAATTCCATTTTTTTCGTATTCCTTTTCTCCTGAAGAAAAAAGCTGTGAAAATTCAGCATTAGCATTTTCTCCTCCTCAGAAGTAATCAATTGGTAAATTTTACGCGAGTATAATCAGTTTAAGTGACTGATTTCTGTGCGCCTAAAAATATATTATGATTTATGCAAGTCACAATCATGATCTATAGATTATGAGTATGACAGTAGATGATGCTTAGTTAATCATTTATTTGTATGCTAAATTGGTGTTCGAGTAATGCATCACTGTGTTCCTTTTCACCAAACCATACTCTGGCCCCTCCCCCCGTTCATGATTTTGTTAACTGAAATACATGTTTTATAGTTACCAGATTATTTGGAGAATATTGAAACAAAGAAATTTGTTTTGATACCTGGAGAAGGATTTGGAGCTTGGTGTTGGTATAAAACTATTGCTCTACTCGAGGAAGCTGGATTACTTCCGATTGCCTTGGATCTAACAGGATCTGGCATTGATATAACGGATACGAACAACGTCATTACACTAGCAGACTATTCAAAACCATTGATTCAATATCTGCAGAATTTACCAGAGGATGAAAAGGTAAACGATGATCAGAAAATGTGTGGTTTGGCTAAGGTTAGAATAAGTAAAGATACTTTGAAAAATATTTGGATAACTTACTTCTTGTTAAATATGTAACTTTTTTTTTTTTCCTGAAAGTAACTTGTCATAATGTCATAATAAGTAGTTTCCTTTGTTTCCAACTTTGACCAATAAACTATGAAACTTGCTTATTATACAAGTGAACTTTTTAAGCTAAGCTATCTTTCGTACAGTTTCAAAATCACTCCCCAATTATTTTTCATTGGTTCTTTTAATGTTTCTCTCTGTAGGTAATATTGGTCGGTCACAGCAGTGGAGGAGCTTGTATCTCCTATGCCTTGGAACATTTCCCTCAGAAGATCTCAAAAGCCGTGTTCCTTTGTGCTACGATGATATCCGACGGACAGAAACCATTTGATGTGTTTGCCCAAGAGGTATACTTTAGCCGGTCATCTTAAAGTTTTGGGCCCAAAAAGTGTTAATTTGTACACCATGATTTTTTTTTTTT